ACTAATAATAGCAGATCCCTGGTACTCAAACAACAAAACATTATATACCGACTTACGTCAAACAAACTAAACTAGACTTATAAATGACGTGGTCACAATTGACATGACCATGAGAAGCCGATGAAAATGAGCTGAATGAGGGATCTCCTTTCCCGGACTAAAGAAGAAAATATTGACCGAAAGAGGAGTTTCTTTATATATTTGTGAATATATAAAGACACTTCCAAGTTTTGTAAAAATTTTATTAAAATCCATAAGTTTCAAAAATAAAAAGCCAGATATTTCAACAATAAGTATTAATTAAAATTTCTTTCTATTATAACAGTGATGCATTTTAGCTCCTTAATTGTTGCTCTTTATAATTTATGTTTTGTACATATTTTTTTCCTTGCTCATTTTTATGTTTTGATGCTTTATATTCAATATTCTTTCATAACCTGTTTTTTATATTTAAACGTATAAGACAACACTGTAATAATGATGAGCGAACAATGCAAAACCTTGGAGATACTTTAGGTACTATCATGTTCATAGCATTTTATTCTATGGATTTATTACATAAAGAATGGTGTCATAAATGAATAGAAAATCATGTGATTATATAATACTTACTTGCCCAGTAAGTGTTTATTTGTTATTAAGCTTTCAGTTTTATTTTATTTTTTTGTCTTCCCCTTCCTCGCCTTTTAGGCTATATGGAGGTTTTCCTAGGCCAGCGGGTAAGGGTAGGGGTTTAATGGCAGAGTTAAAATACCATAGAGGTTTAAGTATATTAAGTTTAAATTGTTAATAGTTCATATTACTTTATTCATAATAGAGTTATGTAGAACGAGAGCATTTTACGTAATAAAATGTAAAGAACTTCAGTTCTAAGTGAAACTCCTAGTTGAACACACTTCTCTGAAGAAGACCTGCAAAGTCGGGTCGAAACGTTGGCTTTTAATGAGATAATTTTGCCATTATTTAGCCTATTTATGGCCGCCACCCCGGACCATCTCCTTCTTTAATAATCCAACGGTCAACTATTAAATATTCAGTAACAAGATGTAGTTTTGTTTTCGACTATTAATCCTAAAAAAATAATAATAAACAAGTATATCAGTGAATTATAAATAATAACATAATAATTATAAAGGAATAATTCCAATTCACCTTCGGAAAGACCATTGCCAGCAAATGTCTTGCAGTTCGAAGGATATCGACATATACTAATACGCATCCTTGAAGATAGATTTGCAAATTCAAACAATCTTCACAGTACACATTATTTCAGTTGCCGATTTGCAGACCTTGAGGAAGCAAGAGCAAGATAATGACTGAATTGGAGAAACCCGGCCCCTACTTAATATGGAAAGCCGATTGTCCACGCTGGGTACGGTCATCGGTCGTGGAGGTCACACGGGGTTCTTATGTCATTTTCAAAATCGGAATCCATATGATTTATATTATTCTCTTTACAGGGGTTCAGAATAGATAGCCTTGAGCTTTTAAACATTAAATACACTAGAAAAATACTTTCTAAAAAGAAAAAAATAATCGTTGCATATGTTCAGCAGTTGGAAAGGAGCCAGTTGCTTTCGATTATTCTATACATGTCATACGGCTATTGCATGACATTCTTCTATGACGCAATGAGAGATAATCGATAAAAGGCCACCGAAGATCGATACTGATTTTATCAATCGATATTTGCACAACTCCTTCCAGCGACCACCGCCCAAACCTAAATCCGCGAGGTCAAACTAAACGCATTTCTCCTACCTATATTTCGGTCTAACCAGACAAGTTTCAAAGATTCGTTAATGAAGCAGAGACAATTTTACTATTCATCAACAATAACTAAAAGGCCCACAAATCATCGCGTTAGAAAAAAAAAATAATCATAAGCAGAAAGACTTAAAACCTGCATGTCAAAATAAAAAGGAATTGCGAAATTTAAAATTAGAATCCGCTAAGTCCATTATTTCTGAATTTTACAAAGCATATAAAAACTAAATAATATATTAATTTTTAGACTATTGTAAATTTGACTGGAAAAGTTTGATGGTATCTAAAATTAGGATCTTGGAAGATTCTTAACCATGTAAATTTTTAATTCCAATGCATCTTTATATTAACAGAGAATTATTATTTTGAGTAAGACATAACACAAAACTAGGGGGATGGCAAAAGAGACTTGTACTGGTTCATAAAATCTATTTTTACGGTAAAATAAGATATATGTCTAACATCCGATTTAATTTTGTATATAATGTTTTTATTTGTTTTTTTGTCTGTTTCCTTGGATTTTATTTAAGTTTTTAAGTGAAAACTTCGTTAGGCGCATGTTGCAATTTTTTGTGGAGAGTAAATTAGATTTAATCATCAGATATCCGATGTGTAACGCTCATGTAAAGTCAGCTGGAGTCGACTAATTGAAGTGTCTTCGCATAGGGATTAAAATTTCTCAAGAACTAAAAAATGGACCTATATATTGTTGGCGATGAAAATGATCATCATTTCATCCTCTTTGTAATGAGCTATTATTCAAAATTGTATCTAACCACGATGCCGTGTTTGTGATGCGAAAACGGAAAAAATAGCGTCGAAAACCATATTATAACGAGTTTTATTGAAGATATAGAGTAAAATATCGGATCTGTATACTGTAAACTAGGGAAATGTTCAGCATTTCATAGTCTTTATAATGAGTTATTATTTATAATTTATATTTCATATTATTAATCTCGCTTTGTTGATGTCTTTACTTCTATCGTGTGGTGTACAGTATACGCCTTAATATTTTTTTTTATTATTATTTTTCGGAAGGAAGGATAAGTTGTTAAACTCTTCGCTAATTTCATCAATCGATTGAACCTAGCAGCTAAGGACAGCTATTTATGCTGAATTTAGGAAGTACTTGGATTGTAGCGGAAGGTGACAACTAAAAAAAAATTACAAAGGAATAACTACCTGCTGAATTGTTAAATTTCAAAACAGAAATAAATATTGATAGAAAGTAAACTGAATATAAACATGTAAAATAAATTGGTAAATAACTACACTAAAGAAATAATGAGCTTATATTCAGCGGATCCATTGACCCGAAAAGCAGATGGATTCGCTGAGCCATTTGTGACTTAATTGCTTAATAAAGGAACGCACTTAATCCTTTCTTAGGAAATGATATGGAAATGAGACGTGCTTCTTTAATCGACACATCTTGTTGAACATGGTGAAATTTCTAACAATTAGGCAAATTAAAACAACCGCGCTCTGAAAACAGTAAAAAGCGCTCCTTATCGAAGATGTGAAAGGGAAAAGCATAGAACACTTTCATTAGGCCCTCTCTAACATGACTTAAGTCACCTGCGTCTTATTAGTATCGCACCTCGCCGTTATGGTATCTCTTATCATACCATCGCTCCTGGCTGCTGAGGCCCTACAAGAGTATGGTATGTCCTACCAGAGTAATTACATCAAGACGATGAACATATTATCAACTGGAGCATTGCCGTCTCGCATGGCAGCTGCATGCTTTTGAAAGTGTTACTTCACTTTCACCCTTATTATAGAGAAACATAATTAAACAATTAAAATGACACACAATTATTATTATAGTTAAAACTTTCTTAGTGAAATTTAAAAATAATATATGTATTCATATTTAAAAAAAAAGAAAGTCAGTCATTATGTTAAGCAGAAACGATTCCTAATTAACGAAATTGAAATGTAAAATGACTCCTGCAAGAATAACTAGAAGTTTTCAAAGTTAATTACTCTATAATATTGTCAATAATTACAAGAAACACATATAAAGATTGATAAGGTTCCAAACTCATATAGTTTTGCTTTGCAGGTGGATTAGTACGTAAATACCTGATAGAACACCTGCATTAGTTAATGAAAAGTTTCAAAGAACAGTTATGAATGCAATGGACTTTTTGAAAGAAATGGTGTAGTTCGCACTTACAGGTAAAAGTAAATAAAAAAAAGGTAAACGAATTGTTTTCAATTTTTCAACAAATAATTTAGGTTAGAATACTGTATACAGTAGAACCGCTGGCTTCGACAGATCTTTCATTATCCGATCCTCATTCCTATGGAATCTATTCCTACATCCTTCCAATAACCTCCCCACCTTTAAATCTCTCCTATTCAATCACCTCTTGTCCGTTCAGGCCCCATAAGATTGTAAAAAGATGTTGTAAATATGTATATAAATTATAAGGCCGTTTTAATTATTTTTATCTCACATCAATTTTTGTGGTTCTATTGAATATTTAGGATTCTTGCAGTATTCATAGATTTCTGGCCTTCATTTATCGTGGCTATTGAGAGGTCCAACTTCTTCTTCTTATTATTATTATTGTTACCATAAGAGATATACCATTTCGGAAAACTAGGCTACCCAACAGATCATGGACGGAAACATATTTCGAAATGTGATGTAATAGGTCTATGGTGACCGATATAAAAATGTCAATAAGTGAATCTTAGCCAAAAATAACTGCTGATCACAGAAAAAAATAAAAAAAATATTTTGTTTAAAAGAAAAGCTTCATTTATGCTTTTTTTTTATTTTTAAAAAGAAATAAATTAAACAAAGAATTGATTTTATAAATATAATATAAGCTGTTTTAAACTTTATTATTTTTCACTTATCAATAAATAAATGATTTTAATAATATATGTTTATATGATGGTAAAAAAATATAATAAGATTTTTTCTTAGCATAGAACAAACAAATTAATTGTAAATAGGCCATTTCTAAATAAATGAAAAAAATTGCCCTTTTAAATCACTACAGAAAAATTGTACATTAATAATTTATAACGTATTCCTGCAACGTTCCAGCCTTATATTATAATAAATTTAAATATATCTTTATTAATAAATTTTCTCAAAATAATTTTATAAAAAAAACTTTTTATAACAAATAAACATATATAAAACAAGTTAATTAGAATAGAATATTATTAAATTAAATTATTTTTAAAGTTGAATTATAATCACTCACCTAAAGTCAACGGGATCTGAGCCGCATTCGCGCCGACTAGGCAAATCTGAAAATTAAAATTATGATATCAGATATGATAATAGAACATAAAATGACTGAAATAATCTGAGATTAACAATATTGTTTATGTTAAACATCCATTGGTCCGTAAAACAATCCACTTACAACCATTAGATGGTGAAATATGCTAAAAGGTAAATTAAAAAAAATTATAACTATCATGATTAATTAGAGTTAAAGATATGTTTTTTTATTTAAATTATCTTAGCTGATGAAGCATTAAGAACTATCTAATAATATTACCCCTTAATTCAACAAACAATATATTCTATCTATCACAATTTTTATAATAGAAAATAGAAAGTAAATTTATGCAGTACTAAATATAGTTTAATATAATATATAATTTTTTATATACTAAATATTAAAAAAAACCAATATAGACTAAATGTTCTTGAAAATTGGACAGCAATAGGTTGGTTGCTAGTATTTTAGAACATCAAAAGAAACAAATGAATACATTAAATTTATAAACTAAAAGAAACAATTATTGATTATTTAAATTTCAGGAAGAAAATAAATTTCGAAAATTGACAAACTTTCCCCTGTCTATATTTAGCTGCATAAGCTCTTAATTGTCCTTTTTTTCATTTTTAGACTTCAAAAAAATATTCCTCGAAATTTAAAGTATAGGAAACCACTATTAAATTGTTCTAAACAAAGTAGTAGATCACTGTTTTACTTTATGATTTAAGAATAATTTGATTTTATTATAAAACATAGATATAACACAATTATATTAAACATATTTTAAATACAATTTTAAATTAATCGTGAAACACTCAATAAACATTCAGAAAAAGAGAACCTTTTAATAAAGTACATAGATATAAGATATGTCGAAATGTATGAAAGATTTTTCAATGCACTGAAATAAGTTATAATATAAATAATATATGTTATTTTATAATATGTTATAAAATATAAATTAATAAGGGTAAATGATTAATTACTGAAAATACAATAATAAAAAAAAAATAATAATACCAAGACACACATATTGTTGTCAGTATTCATCATATAAATATTGTCAGTAACGATTCATTTTAAGAAACCAAAATCATATGGCTTTAAGAATATTCTTTTTAATATACAAATTTAAAAAAAAATACATATAGATTAATACATTGACAAAATATACATAGAAAATACATAGAGAATATATATATATATATATATATATATATATATATGTATATATATATATATATATATATATATATATATATAAAGAATCTATAGTACAAAATTAATTTCCTCTTTCTATTATAAGACATTATTAACCTCGAGAACCTACAGCTGACGCCATATTTTATCTGAAAAAAAGAATAAAATATGGTCCAGCGCGCCCATTTATACGGCCAAATGGTTTTTACACAACATTTTTCCAGAAATTTTACATTCAACCAATAAAAAGCGACTAATTCATCTTAAAGCATGCAGATAGTTAAACGAAAAAAAAAATTATATTCTTTAACATATTAAGTATGTATTATTTTTATTTGATAATAACGTCCAATTTATATTAGTTGTAACTTTGATTTATTCTTCTTCATATGTAAATAACCTACGGACTATTACAACTTACATTAGGGGTCGACTAATAAAAATGTTTAAATATTATTTTAAAAAATGTTATTTTAATTCTTAATTAGTGGTAGAAAAGTAGATAACTCATTTACACTACTAGACTTACAGCCACACTTATTAAGTAACAAACTTCAACTTAACTGATATGGACTTTACAATATTAAACAAGAAAGTTTTTGTAAATCTTCAGTCCAGTTGGAGGGTAATAAACTAAAATTTTGAAAAAATTGTCGGTGTAGTCTGATAAAATATTTATTTTTTTAAAGTTTGTATTAAACCCTACTCAATAAGAGAATACTTTATTCTTTAATTCAACCCATTCAGCTCGAATGAGGATGAAATCAATCCAAAGAATATGTTGATATGAGTTGAAGGTGTTTTAGTAGAATTTGTGCTTACTATTTTCAGCTGAAAAAAAACAGCTATTGATCAGGTATCTTAAGTAGATAATAGAATATATAAGTTTAAAAAAAAGTATTAATTTTTGATCAATCAATAATATCGCAATATTTACAATAGCAATATTTTATTGAAATGTAGAAAAAACTATATATAATTATTTTAAGCTTTCATATTTTCCAATACTGTTTATCTTTGTCTTGAGTTAAATCAAAACATGTGCAATGTGGACTGGTTATAGGATGTAATTTTTAGAGAGATTATTATTTTTTTTTTTTTTTAAGACCAGTAATTACACTGGAATAAAAAGAAATAAACTATATTAAATAATGTTTAAGAAATACAATTTACAGGAAAAATATCTAATACTTTTAGGAATAATTTTTATTATATTTTTTCCTGATACGTAGTTAAATTTAGTACTCAAAGTACATGCGTTCAAATTTAAAACGAATATTATTTTGATTGTTTTAAAAATAAATAAATTATTTTTTTTCTTTTTTGAGGAAGGCTTCAACACAAAAGTCCCTCCCTGTTTTTGTTCTACTAGTGGTTCCATCTAAATGCCGAAATAAGAAATAGACATCCAAAGAGCACTATAATACGATTTCATAACAAAACTGCATTTCATTCTCACCTTCAATTTCATGACGTGAATACGCCATTATTAAAAGAATTTTCACTTATTAAAGTGCATTGTAAATGTCGAGGATACAATCAATTAAATAAGGCACCAAATAGATTGTAAGTGGGAAGTGGAATAGAGGCCCAGGCTCCAATAGGCCTAGATTCAAAGCTAACGTGGTCATTGGTCACAAATCACTTATTATCATAGTACCTTTCCAATTGCTGCCATGATTACGAAGTAGGCGTACTATTACGTAGCTCTTGAAAGCTAAAAGGAATAGGCATGTGGGCTGCCAATTGGATGATTTGCTATTGGAGAACGTGATGGAGTCCAACAGCTGGCAAACATCAAAGATTAGCATGACTATCCAATGTCTCTCCTCTATAAAATTGGATTATTTAATAGAAGTTTCTCATCAAGGGTAATAAAATTAGGAATATTTATTTGTACGTAAAAAAAAACTTGACTAATGGATCAATCTCAAATTAGTATCATGAAATTGGGGTTCCAACAAAAAAATCCTCAATTGGAGAACCGAAACATGTTTCATACAAACAATGGTTAAAGAATCGAGTAATTATAAATAAATAAAAGTGTAAGATCACCACGATTTAAAAATAATTCTTACATTTCTTTAGTATCTGATGACAAAGTATTGAATATACTTTGCCAATAATTCACAACGTAGCGATATATTATGTTCTAAGTTTTGATCTATAAGTAATGTTGTAGAATTGAAATAAAATAAATATTTTTATTTATTTTTTATTTTTATTTTTATATAAATAAGTATTTATTTATTTATATGGTATTTACAACTGTATAGAAAAAATACATCTAGTAAATTCGCACATGGATAAAATGACATGAAACACATGTTGAGAAACTATCCATTGGTAGCAATCTAAAAATAAATATTAAATTGGATGGTTACATATCTACTGAAACCTGAGATATAGCTTTGCGGTATGGTATACCTGAAGCGCCATACAAAGAGAAACGTTTCATTGAAAATTAATAATTATTGTAGTTGAATTGAGTATAAAATTAGTTTTTTTATTCTATCGAATCATAATGTTCAAGACATACAAACATTAGGGATGTCCACATTTTTAATAAAGCTTGCCATGTCTGAGTTTTTTTTTTCATATTGAGGCATGCCAGAACTGTACTCTAACCCATGTTACCTTTACAGTATTTTATTTTAAATCATAGGCAATAGTTTTTTAGAATAAATTTTTCTCTTTTGCAAATTTGGGATAATTAAAACCACATAACTATTATTTATACAACAAAATGTAACTAATGGGATATACATGAAAATATATATAATATTTAATATAAATATATATCGAAAGGAGAACTTTTTTTAAATAAAAAAATATATAACATTATTTATATATTTACCTACGTTAATATATGTTAATAGCCTATATTCAGGTACCTACATATTTAGAATTCCTAGCGTGTTGGCCTTCTTGACTTACACTAAACCTCAATTAGTAAGAGCTATAGAAGAGTTAAAAATAGTCATTATGATTATGATCAGAAAGAAAAAAATAACTGACAAGAACGACATAGTATTTAGGATATAGTCAATTTGTCGAAATACACCAATGATCATCATTTTATCAGTTCTAAAACCAGGATTTTCACTTTTGTGGAAAAGTTTCCTTTTTGGAGAAAATCCAAGATTGAGAGAAGTAAAAAAGGGAAATAATTTTAATCAATCAAAGCTTAATCTCTATTTTTTTTTTTATTATAAGCATAACAGATATAAAAAGAGTAATTACATATAGTATTGCACATTATTTTATATGGAAAGAAGAGATTCTCAAGTTCGTACTGAGGGGGAAAATGGAAAACTGGCAAAAAGGGAAATAAAAAAAAAATGGTGGAAACCTGTCTAAAATTCTTTAAAAGGTATGTAATAATTTAAAAATGTTATGTACACATTTTTGTATTATTATATTTTAAGTATACATTTTTTGCCTTTATTCTTGGCAATTACCTGTTTTATATAATCTTCCTCTCCAGTTTCCTTCAGGATGTTTTCGAATGGATTGGTGAGATGTAAATTATATATTTTTTTTTTCTCCTTGTCATTTATTTCTCTGTCTTTCTTTCTACATATGTATGATCTTGTATTTTATGATGCCATAATTTACAAAACGTGGGTAACTTAACTGCTTACCTGTTTGTTACAGACTCATAGCTTTATATTTGAATTTTTCCATTTATAATGTCTCTCTTTTCGAGCTTTTGGCTTATTTCGAAAAAAATGGTTAATCAAATTTTATACAAAAATAAGATGAAATAGGTATAGAATACCAGAAACTAAATGGCCTAACTATAGTAATGAACGGCGA